CCAAATTGGTTCTCCCTAATCTCGATGAAAAAAGATCTCCATACCTTTCTAAAACTTGTTTTAACTCCTTCTGTTCCTTTGGTGAAAGATTTTCGTTTATTTGGAATCTAGGTTCTTCGTTCTTTTCTACCTCTCTTTCTCGACTCACATTTATTTTCGCTGGACTACTTCCAAAAGCCAATGTTTGGTTTTTCATTATTTTTAACGGTCGAGGATACGGATTAGTTATCCAGATGTGTGTTTCCCTATTTATAACATTGATCAAGCTTCTTGCTAGACGAAGTCCATTTGTTTGAAACATTTTGCTGCTCTCTTCGATAATATATTCTCCATCCTCTGTTTCTACCAATGCCTTGATCAATTTCATGGAACATTCCGGTACAATGGAATCCTTGGCACTCTTTATTTTCAACATTTCAAAATTGATTTCGTCATGATTATTCGTCAAATCATATTTTATAGTTTCTTGCTTACAATCAATTTTTGCGTTCATTTTCTTAAGGAAATCTCTCCCAAGAATTAATGTCCGTAAATGCGTTTTCAATATCACAAAGTTGTGTGATAATGTTTCGTCATCAATTTTTATATTTAAAAATATACTTCCTACCATGTCCAATTTTTTTCCATCGGGTCCTGCACAAATTTTTGCGAGTTTACTTATACCATGGCCTGTATCGAGGGCCGTTCTGAGGTCGACCACTGAGAGGTCAGCACCTGTATCAACCAAAGCTTCAAAAGTCCCTATCTTGTCCACATTAATTTTTAATTTGTATTTAGGGTCCAACTTCTTGATTCCGTTTATGGTCGACTTGCTTTGATTGACAGATTCAGGCGCGACGCTTAGTTTAAATCTTCCAACACGGAATATCTATTCCGGGTAGGAATATTTGTCTGTGTGCTATGACATACATCAGCATAAAGCAGAGGTCCTGATTTCTCTGATGTTTCATTCATTTGGCATTTTTCTTCGACCTTCTCTTGGGTATCTGCTGGATCCTCTTCTAGGATTCTTATAAACTTGACCCTACAATAACGGGCCACGTGCCCTGGCTTGTTACATTTAAAGCAGATTGGTCTTCCATCTTCCGTCCTATTTTTGCTCACTTCTTGGCTTTTATTGTAAGTGTTTCTCTGAAGGTTTGGTTTCGGCACAAAGTTAGGATTATAAGGACGTCTAGGGGTAGAGGGCTGGGGAAAGTTGTTTCGATACTGTCTGGGGGTAGGAGGGGAGTCGTTCTTGTAATTATTGGAAACAGGGGCTTGGGGCCTGGAAGTGGTCTGGTAGTTTCGTGCGGCAGTCGGCGGCACGTACCTCGATTGTTGTTGGGGTCTAGAATAGCGTGGACCGTTATATAGGTTTCTGGATTTCTCCACACGTTCCCGATACTTCTTTTCAAAATAATCCATTTTCTTGCACACGACAAGAAGGTCATCGGTCGTTTTAGGAGGGTTCAGGTAGAGCGCGAATGAGTACTCTTTTTTCAGTCCTCCAATAACATGTTCAATTTTTGTTTCTTCTTCCATTGCGGGGTCAACCTTGTTGCACAACACTAGAATGTCTTCCGCGAACCTGATTGCTGGTTCATTCCAGTGTTGCATTCTGTTGAGCTTCATTCTAAGTTCTTCTTTATTCGCGTCTAAAGAAAAATCCTGAATGAGGCGGATTTTAATATTTTCCCAGCTCGTGAAACTAGCTTTGTGTAAATTCAACCAGGTTTTAGCGCTTCCCGTCATGTTCATGGCGGCATAACGAGAGATAATGTAGTCTGCCCAATGGTACAAGAAGCCAATTTCTTCAAGAGATTCAATCCATGGGCGAGGGTCTTCCGTTCCATCATACTTGGGGATGTCGATGTTGGGATTCAGGACAACTGGGTCGGAACTAGCATCTCTACCAATTGTTGCACCAGGTTGCGGCTTGGCAGACTCTTCAGCCTGGATTCTCTCCTGTGCTGGGTCCTGCATCTTACCAGAGCGTGTTTCAACCATCCTACAAATTTATAAAAGGGAATAACGAGATAAGTCTTCTTTAAGTAGCCACCAGAATCCTTCCTTTATTTTCTCACATCAAAGAGAGCAGTGAAGTCACAGTGTACCTAAATACAAATGATGATAAATTAATAATCTGTTTTAAATAAATATCATAGAATATTTTATATAAAAATAAATAAATATATAATTTAAATTTCAAATATATTAAAACTAATATAAGAAATACGCCATTAATCATGATGTAACAATATATATATAGATTTAAAAATATTCTACTTTCTTTGAGTCTGAATATATTATAATAGAGAGAGAGAATATTTTAAACTCATATAAAACATTTCGCATATTCAATATGGAAGGCTGGTTTTTATTATTAGGAATTTTACGAATGTGGACTGCCGAGGTCTTTCTTTTTTGAGGGGTACTGTTTTTACAGTAGTTGAAGCGTTGTAGGTGAGCTAAGATTGCCAATTTTTTTATAAGGTTGTGGCAAAAGTTCGTGTTTTTCTTTAAACGACGTTTTTCTTATTACTTGGTGAATAATATTATTACGGCGAATACATAATAATAAAAAGGCATATTTTGGATTTAATAAAATATTTATTTACCAATATTTCGGTTGGCTAAACGCAAAACCTTTACCAAGGCATTGCATAAAGGTTTAGCGTTTAGCCAACCGAAATATTGGCAAATAAATCTTTTATTAAATCCAATATATGCCTTTTTATTATCTAATGATTTAAATATAAATTGCTCTATTTTCAAAATAAAAATACCTATTACCATTACTTTATACATAATACAAAGACATTATACATAATGGAGAATAATATTGTTATATTATTTCTCCTGAAGAGAGTGACAAAAAATCACAGAAACGTCGGGAGTTGATATAAACTATTGGTAGATGTGGCTGGGTTTTTTTCTCTGAATCGGCATTTCATTTTTTTGCAAGTGTTTACGAACTTTTGGGACAACCTTGTAAAGAATTATAGAACAATAGGTAATCCTTTCGAAATATCGGGATATATTAACAATCTTAAAATATAAAATAAATATTATTTATTGAAAATTATTATGGATTAATCGATATTTAAAGCATTTGAATATTTGAATTTTAGCTTTTAAAAAGTTCTATGAAATATTTTTAAAATGGTATTTGCATTTCCTTATTCATTAATGACGGAAAAATGCTTTTCAAACTGTTTTTGAAGGTTCCGTTGGACATTCTTTCATAACTTAATTTAGAATAATATCAAAGTATATTATGGCCGTTTAGCCCTGTATGTTGTGATATAAAAACTCTTAAAATATATTTCAGTATACCATTTATTATGAAAAAATACAACACATATAGAATAATGCTCAAGTATTTATTTCAAAAATATTTCAAAATATTTATAATCACCGAAGTACCCGGATATGGAAGTTCAATTCAAATAATCTGAAAACACAAATAAAAACAACACTTATTATTCCATAAAACAAGCTTCCTAACAATATAAATATTATATAATCTAAAAACTCAAATATTTATATATTTTAAAAAATATATATTTTATTTTATTCATTGATAATTTTACTTTTGTTATCATCGTTTTTAGAAAGGCTTTCAGTTTTGTTGTAAATATGCGTAGTTAACATATCTATCCTTTTGAATCACTAATATAGGATTAACTTTATAAATTCTATATAATGTGAAAATAACTAATGTGTAATCTTTCCTCAAGTAATTGAAAATAAAAGCTACTTGACGGTAAATAATTATCTTTTTTTTTTATCACGACTGCACCTCAACCCTGTATCTTATCGATCCTTTGTCTTATCAAGCCTTATCTAACAACAACAACAAAATATTCATAATATATATATATATGATAGTAAAAAGGCATATACAAATATTTTAAAATATAAGATAGACCTCATTATTTTCCCTTTAATATTTTAAGATATTTAACTATTTCTGATTGTAATTTTTATAATATTTTTTCATGCACAAAGTTTTCTCACCTACCTGATATTTTAAATGACTTCAACTGTGATATTATAACACTATGCGGCGCTGAGTTTGTGTATACAAAAATATAATGCCTCGATAAAGGTTAGCGTTCAGCCAGTCGAAATATTGGCAACTAAATATTTTATTCAATCCAATATATACCTTTTACTATCTAATGATTTAAGTATGGATTGCTCTTACACACTAAAACTTTATTAAGACAATATTCTTATATATGGGTATATACCACGGAATCTGCATAATAAAAGTAAATTCTAATTACATATAATGATAATAATTAAATTAATATAGAGTAAAATTAATTAATACAATAAAGCTCATAAATAGATTGTTATTTGTGAATTCGATGAGAAGGAATTTATTATACATGGGCTATGTTTACCCTGAGTTTGTATTTTGTCCTATCCGTTGAAAGTAGTTTTTCTTTGCACGTACTAGATACCAGAGAACAGTTTAGAGGCTTTGAATTCATGGATTAAATTAAATGTTTAAAATTAAATTAAATTAAATTAAATTAAATCAAATTAAATTATTTGTTGTTGTTGTTAGATAAGGCTTGATAAGACAAAGGATCGATAAGATACAGGGTTGAGGTGCAGTCGTGATAAAAAAAAAGATAATTATTTACCGTCAAGTAGCTTTTATTTTCAATTACTTGAGGAAAGATTACACATTAGTTATTTTCACATTATATAGAATTTATAAAGTTAATCCTATATTAGTGATTCAAAAGGATAGATATGTTAACTACGCATATTTACAACAAAACTGAAAGCCTTTCTAAAAACGATGATAACAAAAGTAAAATTATCAATGAATAAAATAAAATGAGAGAATACATTAAATATATTGTAGAAAGACGTTTGACAATTTTACCGCAAATGTTTCTTATGAACGAAAAATCGTAATTTATCTTAAGGAGAAATAACGACTATTTCTATCCTTAGGCATAAATTGTGAAGAGTAATGATAAACGGAAAAATAAAGTGTCCAGGGATGGGAATCGAACCCACAGTGTTCCGCTTACCGGGCAGATGCCATGTCCACTAGGCTACCCTGGACATATTTTTCCGTTCGTAAATATTATATAAAGTTAATTTATAATACAATACAATGCGGTTTATGTTTGCACAACCTTAAAATAAATTATGATATTTCGTTCAAAAGAAACATTTGCGGTAAAATTGTCAAACGTCGTTCTACAATCATAAACCGAATTATATTGTATTATAAATTAAATATATTATTTTGAAATTTGCGTAAATGGAGGTTGAGTATTCACAGTCTAAGAGGAGATAATCGCGACACCAAATTAACATATTCAACAATTACCTTTAAAAGCGAAACCATTATATTAATGATTATTATAGATATTATATTTTTAAAATATATAGTTAGACAAATTTTCTTATTCTTAGATAAGAATTCTCAAAGATGAATGCAAGCGGAAAAACCTTTAAGAGGAATCAAAATATTTATAAAATTTATTTTCAATTTATTACACACACATCAAGATATGAAAAAAACGAAAGAAAAAATAAAAGATAAAAAGATCAGGTTTTCAAATCGATATTAAAAATGGCATCTCCTGACCAGGAGCACATGTGCTTTACAGAAGGCAGAGCGCTATCTGCTGACGCTGACGAGCGCCAAAATTGCGAAACGCGTTCGTGGATGGCTTATCTTGATTTATCAAGAAATTGGGTTGGCCAAATATCAGGGAACAGGCTAAATCAATGTTTAGTTTATTTCTATTCCACCAGATGACGCTTTGCCTTCTGTAGTGCACATGTGCTCCTGGTCAAGATATGCCATTTATATTATTTACATCAAGATATAATACAATATAATGCGGCTTATGATTGTGGAACGACCTTTGAAATTTATCCGAAAAATCGACATAGCATCTGCCCGGTAAGCGGAACACTGCGGGTTCGATTCCCATCCCTGGACACTTTTATTTTTCCGTTTATCATTACTCTTCACAATTTATCCTTTCAAATCATCTCTAAGGTTGGAAATAATCGTTATTTCTCCTTAAAATAAATTTCGATTTTTCGTGTAAAGGAAACACATGCGGGATAAATTTCAAAGGTCGTTCTACCTCAAGATATATTCTCAAAATATAATTCTTTAAACATTAATAGTAAATTTGATTATCAGAACTTCGTGTTTAGCTATACTACTTTATCCTGGTTCCATTACTACATAATAATCTAAATGATTTACGAATAATTAAGGCAAAATTCCAAATAGAAGTTAACTGATCTGACAAGGTCAATTTCATTCATTTGTTCTGTATAAATATTTTGTCTCGTATCTCTTCAAATATATTTAAAATATATTCAAACCATTAATAATCCTACCTTTCCAATTTTTCTATATATTCAGTTCACTATATCTATAAATACGTCCTATATATTGAAAATAAATGACGTTGAATAATTTACCATCATTATAAATATTTCGATTATCAGAAGGAATGTCAACAACTACCAAATCCAATATTTTATTTTCGCAGCAAACAAACTCTACGCTTAACGACAACAAAGTTCTTTTTTTTCTCTCAAATGTGCTGAATCTTTTCTTGTAAAAACGAAAAAATATATTGAATAGTTTATTTTGAATGTCCTTATTATTGGAAAAATATATATAGTAAAATGCATAAACATATGAGATAAGAAAGAAGAAGATAAACATATTTAATAAATAGAAAATAAACTTATAAATAGCGATAAAACAATTCAAAATTTGGATAACATTTGGGATCTTCATCTTTATAAAAAATTACCTGAAATTTCCAAATATTAAATATGAAAAGGATGTAACGTATTTAGTCTTTTGAATTTTCAGATGCATTTTTAAAAGTCGCTCAAGCTAAATAATAAAATAGAGGTGTTTTCGAATTGTATTTCATATTTATCAAAGATTTCATATATTTTTATTTTACCTATTACTATTTTACTATTTTTTATTATTACTATTTATTTTACCTATTATTAAAAAAAGGGAAGGCAAATTGAGAATAATATTTAATACTAGCGGATGTACCCGGCTTCGCCCGGTTTTACCCGAGTAAAGGTTTGTCTAACGAACATTTGTTAAAACAATTCTCTATATACTTATATATAAAAAATAGATATATTTTTAAAATTCAAAACTTGTAAATTTGAATCTCTCGATAAAGTGAACATTTTTTCCCGGTCCCTTGAAAAATACTCGATAAGTTGAATAAAATCAATATTAATTGGTTCCCTCGGTAATTGGATGTTAAAGGAATAGTATCTTGCCTTGGAATTGTATCGTTATTCTTGTCTCAAATAAATTGCCGTGTCATCCTGAATTTTGTCCTTCCTAATTTTCTACATTACAAAATCATCATTTTATCTATTCTCCCAATATATATGTTTTAGATAAATGATAAAACTAACTTTGACTTGTGCGCAATTAATAGGTAGAAATCTTACTTTTGATAAATAATCTTTAAGATAATAAACTTAGTGATAATAAAACTTATAGATAAAAAACTTGTTAACATCGTCGCAATCTACAAATCTGCAAATAAATCTAAGGATATTCAATAAATTATATTTCAAAAACCTTCCCGGGGAGATACCTAATAATATCCCAAAATTTCACGGCGATTGGATGTATGGTTTTTGAATCTATAGAGTACACACAGACCGACATTCAATTTTATATATATATAGATTACAGAATAATAAAGCTAAATTTTATTTGCTGATCTTATAAATAAAATATAGTAATATTGTCAGTATAAAGCGTATTTATATAAATTTATGAAAATATCAGAGAACAAATGAAAAATATATTTTTGAATTTTTTCTGAAGAAAAAGGTTCTTGGATAACAATGGGAGAAAGATTTTAATCATTTTTAGAAAAACTATGAATAGAAAACGCCAATAGAATAGATTTATTATATAAAAACTTAATAAGATGAAAACATCAGGGATAGGTTTATTTTTAGAAAATTTAATTCCGATATCTAGAGCTTTTGGACATGAAACCCCTCCTAAAGGATAAAAAACGATACAATAATAAAATTAAAAACCTTCCGCTAGCGAACCTCAATGGAACTGAACATTTCATTTATTATATCCAAATTATTTTACTATATCCTAAATTAAAAAACAATAGAAAAAAAAGTGGGTCAGGTGTTGATATTAAAAATAAAGCAAGCGTATTCTGACCACAAGCGCATGTGCTTTTTAGATAGCAGAACACCATCTAGTGGAGCAAAAATAAACTAACGTTTATTTAACTTGCTCCGTGATTTTTGGCCAACCCAATTTCTTGACAAATCAAAAAATGCCATCCACGAACGCGTTTCGCGCTGTTGGCGCTCGTCAGCGTGGAGTAGGCTGTACCACTGAGACCAAAAATATTTTTGGTCCCAAGTAGAATAGCTATATCTCGGATAGGTTCAGCGATTTTAGTGTATTTGCTAAATCTTTAGTCAATTAATTTCTATCTGGTATTCTATACCTTTACAAAATTAGGATTCCTCGCTTTGCAACTTTCGCTTGGCCTCTCCCAGGGTCCATGCGGTGCGCTGCCTGTGGGTCATACATCCACAACAGCACACGAAGCCCCTGGACACAGCGTACCTCATATTTCATCGGGTAGAAAAGTACAGAAATATATTACAAGTAATTATCCGTGAACTCCTTAATAAATTTCCTCTTAATAATTTATCATGAAATTCGCAAGCCACGAGTTAAAATTCCTACCACAAGGCGTTCATCTTCAAGTCTCTCTATGTACAAACACTATGTACAATTGTATAAACATTATAAAATCTATTTTTACAAAGTAATCGCATGTGAACCTGAAATTATAGAAAAAAAACACTCTAATTACGGAATATATGGAAATTTATTTTAAATGTTTACCTTGAAAACTCACAATCCTGAATTTTTGAGGTATATTTCAATATAAATATGAATTGAAATATATATATTTTATAAAAATGTTCTTTAAAATTTTTCAAAATCTCCATGACAATTTTTGTAACATAGATACTTCAAGTAGCCAGTATATTTCGGTAAATATCAGTGCATGCTTATCTTGGAGTACACCAATTTGTTTTTTATTGTTTTCCTTTCTATGTAAAAGAATATTAAAGATTATTTTATAAAATTCTCCACTGTTGAAATTAATAATGATGGTATATCTGTGCGATGGCCTATTAAAATCAGTTTTATTACTTAAACTATATGTTTAAAATAAAACGAAAGACAGTCTTGCTATATATTGTATATCTAACTTTAAATACGTTAATGAATATATTTATAATTAGATCTTTTAAAAGACAGCTAATTAGGAACAACAATTTTGTGAAATGTTATTAAAATAAATCTTCTCTGATTGAGTAAATTCACTCTGTGTTCCTTTTATATTTTTGAATGTTTATTCTGAATTCGGAACAAAGAGTTCTTTTCTAAAAAGCTTAAATCTTTTAAACCACTTTGACATTTCTCATATTTTCTTCTTTTCTTACAACAAGTCTACGTCGACAGTAATTATAAGATTCCTTTTTGCCAATATTTGGACTACGGCCCACAACTTTAGAATATGTGCGCATTGCTATAATGCTGCTGAGACATTCTAGCATGCCAAATTTTATTTAAAAAATGATAACTAAGAGAATATTTTTAAAATCATTTTAGGAGCTGATCTCTCCCATCTTTTTTCCCATTTCCCTTCCAGTCCAATGTATTCTTAAACACATTTCATCTCCAGTCGGTTAGTTCACTAAATATAATAACAATAGTTTTTCAGAAAACATATGTTCACTTGAACCATATTCCAGCTTATCATAGGAATATTGTCACGGTAATGAAGTTGTTAAAAAGCGGTTGGGTTTAGAGATCGAACGATATGCCGTCGCACTTGTCAATCTCACTACTCGAGCCGCACCAGCACACTTTTTTCTAGGGCCGTAGCCTACCTTGTCTCCTCTAACCTCTGGAATGTTTATTCCTTCTCAAACTTTTATTACATATATTTCTAATTTTAAGTATTCTTCTACTTTATTAT